CTGAATCTGCTCCAAAGCAATACAGTACAGGTAATGTTGCTCAAAGTCCCAACCCAAAGTTCTACTATGTAAAGCATGACTAAAAGAGCTTTAGCCAAAAATATAATCACGAGAGGCAAGGTATGAACAGTCTTAAAAGGGCATTCTCAAGCAAATATCAATAGTAACAAGGAAAGTAAGTCACTGAATTTAAAGTTATTTAGAGGTTTATACCACCAATAATACTCAGTAATATTTCACATATCTGCAATGCCTCCACCCCGCTTAAACACAGGAATAGATCATTTTTTCCCCGATTATTCAGCAACCAGAATGTTAAGAAGTTCAGAGTGCTAAAGCTCACTCACTGAACTCAGGCCTCTCAGTGACTTTTTTTTTTTTTAAACAAAAAAATAAATAAATTTACTTCTCTGTTTTCCTAGTTCACAACCAATTATAATGAGCAAGTCAGGATGAGAAGCACAAAGAAAAAAGCTGGTAGAAACAGGCAGAGTTGCAAGAAATAACAGCTAACTTGGTAGGAGGAGACAGTAAATGCAAAAACAGACCAAGAACTCCAAACACACAATCTTCTGAGGCCATGTAGCAAACAGCTCTATGTCCCTCAAGAGTCTCCAAGGGCAACCACTACACAGGGTATATTCACGGAAACAGATCCAGAGTAAAGTCACTGATAAGGATTATATTATACTACGTAGAGTTTTTTTAAATAAGGTAGGGAAATGTATAATCCTTTTTTTTTTTAATGTTTATTTATTTATTTGGTTGCTCCAGGTCTTAGTTGCGGTAGGCTGGCTCCTTCGGTCCAGTTCGCTGGCTCCTTAGTTGTGGCATGCGAACTCTCAGTTGTGACATGCATGTGGGATCTAGTTCCCTGACCAGGGATCAAACCCAGGCCCCCTGCACTGGGAGCGCGGAGCCTCATCCACTGTGCCACCAGGGAAGTCCCTGCATAATCCTTTTTTGAAAGGAGTTCATCCAAAATGTTTAAAATATTCTTTATTGTAGTTTAAATCGGAACACTTAATTTATAAGCTTCAGTTATACGGAAGATTGCACCCCACAATAAATGCTGAGTAAAGCACTGCAGTTGATAGGAGAATTATAACTCAAACATCAGTTACATGAAAAATATGAGCATCTCATTTCCCAAAAACACTGAGAAAATGAGGTGCTACTGTTATTTAAATTAACATTCATGTTATGAAATAATACCTTGACCTATAGAAAACTAAGAACTATGTACATGTTATTAAAAGTACTTTAATTTTGAAAATCATCACTGGTCTCCACTGTGCTTAGCTCATCATACTACCTCTTTCAATCTCTCATTAATCCTTTCCACGCACAAGACGGGAAACTTATGACTTTGTGTGGGGAGTTTCTCTTAAAGAACTGGTTTGAACATTTAACAAATGTTATTTTAAAATATTTATCCATGTATATTTAAATGTTTATCTTAATAATTTATTTTTCATAAACTGATGTTAACCCACAGAAAGAGAATTTATATTTTAATTCTCCTTGTCACCAGAACTAAAATCAAAGGAATATGTACGTTTTTCAATAACCTTGAAGCTTAAAAATGATAGAAAAAAATGAGTAGTACCTGATTTTCTATGGATGAAAAATGAAGGTTAAAAATAATCCTGAAGGACTTTAACAATTTAATTTTTCTAAATGGTAGAGAATATGCAGGGAAAATACTAGTTGGTACACAGAACTAAAGTCAGTCTATGAATATTTTGGAGTTGAGTGTGGAACATTTAGAGATCTCAAATGACCTACTTTCTCTCCACCACAATCTGTGAAAAATATGATAAAGGAGTACTTATTTGCTGAGAGAAGTACTATGTGTTTTTAGTCTATAATATATAAATGTTCATGAAAAAATACAACTGATGAAATAATTACATACACAATCACAATGAACCAAAATTCAATTCCTGACTATCCCACCTAACAAAATAACTCACTTCCAAAGTTTAAACTGTAATAATATTGTTCTTATATAAGGCGTTTTTAAACCGAAAAAATTGTGTAGTTACATAATAAGGTTGTAAACCTAAACTGAGAGTACAGTATGCCTAAATTGTTTAAGGGATAATGAAAGTCATTACTGTATAAGTATTAATACATATGATAGAATGATAGTCAGGGGGTGGGGGGAGTTTGTTTTGGTTTGGTTTGGCTTTCTATACTGTTCCATTTTTCCAGAATATCAGCAGAGAGTCACAATACGGAAGGCACAATTCAAAATGTTTTTGTTTACAGAAAAAAATGCACATGCCTCATCCAGCTACCATTAAACATATGTCTACCATTACCCTGATCATGTTTGGAGAAATTCAAAACCAAATATAAACTCATTCTGCTTGAAGACTATTATTAGTTTCAGGGCTATCACTGAAGATTGCCAATGATCTAGTCCAAGTTTATTTTACAGATGAGAAAACTAGAAAATGGGCTTATTAAAGGACACACAATTAATGACAAAGTAAACTTAGAACTCAATTATATGTCCACTAAACCAGCTTCTTCCCAACTTAAATACCAAATCACGTCTGATCTGCTACATAAAAATTTTTAAATAAATTCATTAAGGGACATGGGTGAGATACCCAGGGTTTGGTTAACTCTGAAAGTGAAAACCGACAGAAATGCATAAATACTGATTTGCTCATTTTGCTGAATTTAGGTGGGGATACTTAAAACATCCAAATGGCCTACAGTGACTTTTTTCCAAAAAATAGAAGCCTTTTAGACAAAGCCTATCAAATACATCCCATTACTACACAAGGATAATAATTTATATGCACCATCAACTATCTGGATGTGAAGAACAGTGTTTGTAGTATTATCCACATAAATAAATACACAAGTTGAAATCTAAGCCAGAAATTGAAATTTATTTTAGCTACAATACTAAATTTACATGTAAACTGTAACTAAAGTCAGCACTTATACTCACTTCAGAGTAGAGAACAAGAATTAGGCAAATAAACGTAACAAAAATACAGCTAGCCCAGACAACAGTCCACACAAATCAGTGTGATGTGACTGAAATTTCTTAAAACATAACTTAACATGTATCTTAAATAAGGTTGAGGTACAAGTCCCTTTCTTCTCCTGAACTGCCTCTGATGCCGTGACAAAAATGGAGATGCAAAGGGAATAGTACCCTCCACTGATTTTTTTTTCTCATCTGTTTTTATTCTGTCTTAAAAAATAAGTGGAGCATAAAATCTCTTCCCATGTACTGTGTTTTACCCCAAATCTTCAACATCCACCATTCCAAAGATGGCCACACTGATTCAGAGCAATATATGTCAGCCCAGGTGTTTAAAGTTTTAGGTTGAAACATTTGGTTAATTAACACCATGCTGCAAACACTCAAAATCACTTCAGCTGCCACTACTACAAAACAAAACTCCCCAAAACAAAAACTGTTACCCTCCACTGGATTTACCCACACAATAAATATTTACTGAGTGTCAGATGCTATGGTAGGAAGAATGAAAGAAAAAAGAAAACTGAGCAAAAAGCAGACATGGTCGCTGCCCCGTGAAGCTTAACACTTATGGAGCCTTTATGAAATACATCACCCCAAGAATCAGTGTATATGTTGGGGTCTGCTTGAAAACGTCCTCTTTTTAAAAAATAATTCTTTTTAATACATGTAATGGTAAGAAAATCAGCCTTGCTTACTGTTCTATTTACCTAATTTTTAGAAATTTGCTTAGATGTAAAAAAAATTTCATACAACCTATCTTCCTCCAAAGGTTGCATGCTAGACAGCACAAATGGTAAATTCAACAGATTCCATATTAATATTTTACTGTTTATAACTCCAAGTGCCATATAAGTCAGTAAGGCAGGTCTTCCTGCTAGATGGGCAAACAGCTGTAATAGTCTAAGGTAAGAAAAACAAAAAAATCACTTGTTATTTTGAAAGTTTGAATATATATTTGAAAGTTATTGAATATAGTCCTAGTATAAATACCTATATTCTGCTTAAGATGCTAGACATTATTTACACAGGAAAAGAAAAAAATACAGATATAAATTGCAAAGGAGGAAAAGGTCTCATCATTCTCTCATTCTTACAGGATTTTCGACAGCTGATGAAGAGGGATTTGATGGAACAACGTAATTTTACAGCAACTTAATGGTTTAAAGAAGTTCCTAAGGAATGAATGCTTAGGACTTCAATTTTTTTTAATACCCAGAAACAAGACTTAAAGAAAATGTCAGCATGTTAAAAGTTAGTTATTTCTGAATACTGGGCTGGCTGAAAGTCATTACGCCTTTTATGTTTCTACATTTTCTAAAGTAAGGGAATACTACAATTACAGTTAGAAAACAACTAAAGAAAGGCAGATCTTGAAATAAATCACTGACTAGGTAACCTCGACAGTCCCACTCTTGCTTTCAACGGCAGAAACAGCACTAACACTGCAATTTAGAGTGGAGAGGACACGGACGGAGATACACACACACACACACACACACTTAACTAGCATGTAGTAGGCACTTAATATTTGTGGCACGAAAGGACAATATATATGTAAACAAGCCAAAACACAAACAAAACGCACTCCGATTCTGAGGCAATACAGTAAATAATCACAGTAAAGATTACTTTACTAAAAGCTGCCCAACAGCTTAACGCGCACTAAATGAAAGAGCTCTTTTTCCCTGCCCTCCTCTTTTACTCAGTCACTAGATTGCACATTCGAAACAAATCCTCCCCCAGCCCCGCCCCAAGCCCTACCCTCAGCTGCTCCCAGCACTGAAATTGATGGAAAGTCCGGGGCCTTGGCGGTACCCAGACCGGCCCCCCTCTGGACGTTCTGCGCTGCGGACACACCCGGCGCGGTAGCTGCCGGGGCTACAGCTCGTTATCTCCGGGACCCCCAGGGACTCGCGCTCGCCCCAACCCTGAGCCCGCGGCGCCGGCGGCCCCCCTCTTCTCTCCCAAGCGGCGGGCCGCTCCGTACCTGCACACCGTGATCAGGTTCCTCCTCTCCACCGCGGCGTTGCGGGCGCTCAGGCTCTTCCTGCCGCCGCCGCCGCCCCCGCCGCGGTTCCCGCCCAGGCCCCCCAGGCTCCGGGAGGCCATGGCGGGCTGACCCCCGCGCCCCTTTTGTCTCGTGCGACCCCGCCCGCTGCCCACACCTGCTTCCCCGGGCTCTCGCTCTGCTTGCGGCCGTGGGGCCGCGGGAGGGTGGAAGGGAAGGAGGGGGGGACGGAGGGAGGGTGTGGAGGACGGTGGGGGATTCGCACCCGGGGACTAGTGGCTGGCGCTCCGCGCCAGGGCTCCACACACACACACACACACCACACACACGCACGCACGCACACCACACACACGCACGCACCACCCCCGCCCTTGCGCGCGCCGCCAGCCGCCGGGAGGCGCGTGCAGGCCGGCGTCAGCAGCTCCCCTACTTCCCCCAGGGACCTCGGCGGCCGCGCAGGCGCGTGCCCGCCGGCCCCACAGGCCCAACCACCCGCGCTCGGCCGCCACTGCCTCGCCAGCTGCGGGCACCGCAGAGAGCCACGGGCCTCTCGCGCGCAGCCCCGCCCTCCCTGCCTCTATCGGGCCAACGCCGCCCCAGCTGGAGCCAATCGCAGCGCGCGTGGGGCGGGGCTGGCCGCGCAGACCTTTAAAGCAATCTGCTGGAGCCCCGCCCAGGCGCGTGGGCAGCTGTCAAGACGCCCGGCCCGCGCTCTCAGCCGGGGAGCCGCAGGCAGTCCGCACTCTGGGGAGCAGCGCCGCAGCTGGCCTGGGGATTGTGGGATGCGGGACTCGGGATTGCTCCGGGCGTGTTGACGACCCTTGCCAGGAGCCCAGCTAACGGCTGGGATCGCTAGCTCTAACGGCTGATCCCGTTCCCAGAATCCGACTCCCCAGCCTAGTGGCATCCGTAGCTACAACGCCGAGCCAGCAGCAGCGCCGGCTCCCGCACCTGACCCAGGGCTGACTCCCAGGAAGGGAGCGGATTTTCTTTTGTCCTACCGCCCTCCCCTGGCCTAGTAGACAGCTACAGATAGCCCAAAGAGGGAAACTGCCCGCAGAACATCCCTCTTGCGGCGTCTGGTGGTGGGATTTTTGCCGCCACTTCGCTCCTACCCTAGCCCCCAGCAAGGCCTGCAGCCCGGACTGACCACCCACAGAAGAACGAGAGCGGTGCGAGTGTACACTCTGCTCCTTTCACCCTTCTCCCGTCCTGGGCAGTGCCCCCGGAATTAGTGGGGGGGGGGCGGTGAGCCTCCGGGCAGTGTTTGGAACCTAGCGCCCACTTTCCAGAGCCTCTCCACCCCTGCGGCCTTACCAGCAGGGAGGTCCTGGCTTCGGCCCGAGTTCTCTGGTGCTCATCTAGGTCGGCTGTTCACCTCTCTTTGCGTCAATATGCCCAGATTTTTTTTTAACTTTATATTTTATATTGGGGTATAGCCCATTATAGAGTTGTGATAGTTTCCTGTGCACAGCAAAGCCACTCAGCCATACATATACATGTATCCATTCTCCCCGAAAACTCCCCTCCCATCCAGGCTGCCACATAACATTGAGCAGAGTTCCCTGTGCTCTACAGTAGGTCCTTGTTGGTTATCCATCTTAAATTTAGCAGTGTGTACATGTCTAACCCAAACTCCCTAACTATCCCTTCCCCCCCTTCCCCTCTGGTAACCGTAAGTTTGATCTCTAGGTCTGTGAGTCTGTTTCTGTCTTGTGAATGACTTCATTTGTATCATTTCTTTTTAGGCTCTGCATATAAGGGATATCATATATTTCTCTTTCTCTGTCTGACTTACTTTACTCAGTATGACAATCTCTAGATCCATCCATGTTGCTGCAAATGAATATGTGCAGATTTTAGAGTGAAATCCTTATTGACAGCTATCCCTGTGGAGCCTCGCACGGTGCTGTGCATAGAACAGGTTCGCAAATGTTCATTAAATTTAACTGGAAGTCACATTTGGAATTATTTTACTCTAATTTTACAGTTTGGGTGGTTCAAAAATCCATTAAACTTCCAGCTCTGGTTTTGACATTCCTGTCAAAGAATATTATAGAATAGATATATAGATATAGTGTAGATACCTCTGTACTTCTTATATATTATACAAAGTAATACAGGAGGTTACTGTTACTCTATGTGGAATGCTTTTAAAACAGAGTTATGTATATTAAAGCTGTAGGTTACTAATTTCCGAGGTTGTAAAAAATTTTAAATCATTAGGGCAAAGACTGAGCCCTTTCATCCACTCATCCTAATCATAGTAGAATGAAAATACATGTAGAAAAAAAAACTCTCTTAACTAATTTACTACGATGAATATTCAGATATTAAAATTATAAGAAACAATTCAGACAGACTTTAAACATTATCTTTCACATAAATAAAAGTAGGAGGTTTTTCCAGGTCAGTGCACTTGTTGCCAAACATTTCTTGTTGGCTCTGTGGTGACATAGAGGCTTGTAAGGAGGTTTACCCTACTCAAATTGAAACTGTTGTTTAAACACAGATGAAAACTGCATAGATGACAAAGGATTAATTTCCAAAATATACAAGCAGCTCATGCAGCTCAATAACAAAAAAACAAACAACCCAATCCAAAAACGGGCAGAAGACCTAAATAGACATTTCTCCAAAGAAGACATACAGACTGCCAACAAACACATGAAAGAACGCTCAACATCATTAATCATTAGAGAAATGCAAATCAAAACTGCAATGAGATATCATCTCACACCAGTCAGAATGGCCATCATCAAAAAAATCTAGAAACAATAAATGCTGGAGAGGGTGTGGAGAAAGGGGAACACTCTTGCACTGCTGGTGGGAATATGAATTGGTACAGCCACTATGGAGAACAGTATGGAGGTTCCTTAAAAAACTACAAATAGAACTACCATATGACCCAGCAATCCCACTACTGGGCATATACCCTGAGAAAAGCATAGTTCAAAAAGAGTCATGTACCAAAATGTTCACTGCAGCTCTATTTACAATAGCCCGGAGATGGAAACAACCTAAGTGTCCATCATCGGATGAATGGATAAAGAAGATGTGGCACGTATATACAATGGAATATTACTCAGCCATAAACAGAAATGAAATTGAGCTATTTGTAATGAGGTGGATAGACCTAGAGTCTGTCATACAGAGTGAAGTAAGTCAGAAAGAGAAAGACAAATACCGTATGCTAACACATATATATGGAATTAAAAAAAAAAAAATGTCATGAAGAACCTAGGAGTAAGACAGGAATAAAGACACAGACCTACTAGAGAACGGATTTGAAGATATGGGGAGGGGGAAGGGTAAGCTGTGACAAAGCGAGAAAGTGGCATGGACGTATATACACTACCAAACGTAAAATAGATAGCTAGTGGGAAGCAGCCACATAGCACAGGGAGATCAGCTCGGTGCTTTGTGACCGCCTGGAGGGGTGGGATAGGGAGGGTGGGAGGGAGGGAGACACAAGAGGGAAGAGATATGGGAACATATGTATATGTATAACTGATTCCCTTTGTTATAAAGCAGAAACTAACACACCATTGTAAAGCAATTATACCCCAATAAAGATGTTAAAAAAAAAAAAAGAAAACTACATAGAAAAGAGAGTGAAAAGCCATCAGTTATCAAGAAAATTCCATGCTGGTTTGTCCTGCAGGAGTGAGAGAACACATATGTCTGAAACACTTATCAGGAAGACAAAAATGAGTGGTCATGTTAAATAGAGAAAAGTGAGGTGTCATTATTCTCAAAATTGGCTTTCTAGCCTTTCAAGTACATTTTTTTCAAGTACATTTTCATGTTTTTTGTACTATGAATTTATATTTATGACTGAAGACTTGGTAAAACTCCATCTTAGATGATTAGGTGATAATGTTATTTTTTCAAATGCTACTTTTAGGGGGATTCAGTTGACATTGGCACTTGCTGAACAAGATTTTGCCTTAAACCATCTTTTCTATGTACAGTGTGCCATTAAACTGCCACATGGGGGCCTTATGTGATTAAGCTTTTTTCTTAATTATCTTGAGCTATAGGTCCTGGGTCTCATTCTTTCTCCAGATTACTAATCTGGTGATAACTAAACAATTATATGCAGTGCAGAGTAAAATACTACTATACAGCCACATGAGCTTTCACATTACTTTTTGAACTTTTTTTGGCGTCTATTGCAATTCTTTATTTATCCAAGAATTTGCACAAAGGTTATTCAGAGAGGTAAAAATACACAATAATAATAATGAAAACAGTAGATGCCGAATTTAACCTACAAGAATTCTGTAGAACTGAATGGGCAGATCATACTCATTCACCATTTTCCCAATCACCTTGTTCTCCCCATCAAAAAAGACAAAAATATTTTTTTAAAAAGACAAAATTACAACTGTGACATATAAAATGTCCTCAAATCTAAAATACTACAAGCCAGAGAGATTACCAAAGCATCATTTATAATCTCAAAGAAGTGGACTTTCTTTTCTTAAAAAAATAAATTTATGTATTTATTTTGGTTGCATAGCATCTTAGTTGCGGCACACAGCATCTTCATTGCAGCACACGGGATCTTTAATTGTGGCATGCAGGCTCATAGTTGCAGCATGGGAGCTTCTTAGTTGTGGCATGCATGAGGGCTCTAGTTCCCTGACCAGGGATTGAACCTGGGCCCCCTGAACTAGGAGTGTGAAATCTTACCCACTGGACCACCAGGGAAGTCCCTCAAAGAAGTGGACTTCCTGTGTATGCCCAAACCCAGCAGAAAAGATTGATAAAATTGAAGAGACTTTTTTTTTTAATCCATGAAGCAAGTTTCACCATAAACACAAAGGAAAAATGACAGACCGAGAAAACATATTTGACATTCTCATCATGGACAAATAGCTAGTTTCCTTTTATACACAATGTTCCTGCAGATCCTTAAGCACAGTTTCAGTAGAATGATGAAGGTGGAAGCCAAATAGGAGAGACTAAAAGAGTGGGAAGTGGGAATCACACAGCTCACTTGGGATATTGGTATTTTATCCCTATCGTTGTGTTGTTACTTTTCATGGAAATGACTTCAGCACATTTTAAAGCTGATAGAATGAATCCACTGGGAGGGATACGTTAGAAATGCAAGAGAGAAAAAATGATCAGAAGTGAGAATGTGGAAGAGCACTGGGATCCAAGGCACAGGTGCATGGATTGAGCTTCGGTTAAAGGTACTAATTCTCACTTGTAACCATAGAGAAGGGTGGGAGCACAGGTGCAAACATAAGTAGTTTTAAGTATTTATTATTAGAAGTTGAGGAAGGGCTTCCCTGGCGGTGCAGTGGTTGAGAGTCCGCCTGCCGATGCAGGGGACACGGCTTCGTGCCCCGGTCCGGGAAGATCCCACATGCCGCGGAGCGGCTGGGCCCGTGAGCCATGGCCGCTGAGCCTGCGTGTCCGAAGCCTGTGCTCCGCAGCAGGAGGGGCCACAACAGTGAGAGGCCCGCGTACCGCAAAAAAAAAAAAAAAAAAAAAAAAGAAGTTGAGGAAGTTCCCATCTGGTAACTTCTGCTTTATCAGCAAATTAAAAGACAAAGTCACCCGCTGAAAGATTCAAACAGTCCATCTTACAGT